AATTGTCCACAAAAAAATTGTCCGCAGAAAATAAAAATTTGCAAAAAAATTGTCCGCAAAAAAAATTTGTCCGCAAAAAATGTCTGCAAAAAATCTGCAAAATTTGTCTGCAAAAAATTTGTCCGCAAAAAAGTGTCCGCAAAAAAAGTGTCCGCAAAAATTGTCCGCAAAATTTTTAATTTTACATAACCTCATTTTTTTTTAAGTTAGAAGGTGTCCAATCTTCCCTTTCTCGTCAAGTTATATCCTCAATTCTTGATCGATTTGCAAGAGATGTCAACATTAGGGATTTGGCTGCAACACAAAATATAACCAAAAATATTTTTCAAAAGGCTTTTCAAAGCTTCAGGTTTTCTTTGGATTTTTATAAGAAAAAAATTTTTTTGAAAAATTTAAGAATGGCTTGCTGTTTGGGTCAGACAAGTTTGGATCCTCGTCTTCAAGTGATTTTTAGTGATATTATTAAATATGGTTTGTCTATTTTTTTTATTTTTGGGACCGGGGGATTGGCCGGGTTGGATTCTATATTTTGGATTTGGATCAAAAGAGGTTTCGTCTCTTATTTTTTGGATAACCCTCCCTAAAACCCGCCTATCTCAGCCAAAATTGGCCTGATTTAGGAAGGAATTATGGGGCCAAATCAGAGAGCGGACACAATCAGAGAGTTTTGCGGACATCCGCAAAAAATTTGCGGACAAAATAAACTCGTAAATCCAACCAAAATTACCTCTCAAAAAAAATTTTTTAGATCACAGTGTCGACCAAATTTACCCTTATTTTCTTCGACATGCTCATAAGGTCTTTCCACACTTGGAACGAATTAATGAACTTCGAATAATTTCTGATTTAACTCATCCACACAATTGGTACCCTCTAGCTCGTGAAATTCATCGAAAAATTATTTTTCATGCAGGTTTGTGGTTTCTGAAAATTTTTCGAAAAAAAGTCCGCAAATTTTTGTCCGCAAAAAATTTGCGGACAAAAATTTTTTTCAATTTTTCAAAAAATTATTTTTTAGGCCCCACAAATAGCGGGAAAACTTACGAAGCTTTGGAAGAGTTTAAAAAGGCGAAATCTGGAATGTATTGTGGTCCGTTGCGGTTATTAGCCTTTGAAATTTATGAACGAATTAATAAAGATGGTAAGAAAACTTTTATTTTTTGATACCAATTATTTGGGATTTCTAATTGCCTTTCCTTTTTTGTTTCTTCTTCTAATAAGCTGTAAATTTTATTCGCAATGGCTTGGGGACAAAAAATGTCGGCAAAAATTTTTGCGGACAAAAGAAAGACCTCAAAAATATTTGCGGATAAAAGAAAGTCCGCAGAAATTATTTGCGTATAAAAAAAGTCAGCAAAATTTATTTGCGGATAAAATAAAGGCCGCAAAAATTTTTTGCCGACAATTAAAAGTCCGCAAAAAATTTTGCAGACAAAATTCTGCAATAATTTTATTTTAAAAAGGTATTCCTTGTGATATGGTCACTGGAGAACAACGCCTATTTGCTCATGATTCTGAAACTCCAGCTGCCCATTGTACTTACACGGCAGAGATGGTACCTATAGATGATAGAAGGGATATTTGTGTGATAGATGAAATACAAATGTTGAGGGATGTTGAGCGTGGAACAGCTTGGACTAGGGCTCTGCTTGGAGTTGCTGCTGATGAGGTTAAAATTAAATTTTTTCAAAAATTTTTTCAAAATGGTAAGTATGTCAAAATACCAAAAAAAGTTCAAAAATTTGCGGACAGAAATTGTCATCTGCAAAAAAATTTGCGGACACAAAAATTGTAATCCGCCAAAAAAATTTGCGGATAAAAATTCTAATCCGCAAAAAATTTTTGCGGACAAAAATTTTTTTCCGCAAAAAAATTGCGGATTTTTTTTATCTTAAAAGGGGCACTTTTTGGCACTAGTTTGGCACTGCCAATTTTTCCAAAAAAATTTTTTTAGGTTCATTTGTGTGGCGAAGAGGCAGCAATAGACCTTGTATTAAAATTATTAGATCCAATTGGTGAACATGTTGATGTCAGAAAATATGAAAGGAAAGGTGAATTGGTTGTGATAGATACACATGGATTGAGGGATTTGAATGCTGTGGAGGTTTTTTAATTTTTTTTTGAAAAGAAAAAAAAAATTTTTAAAGGATGGAGACTGCATCATTCATTTTAACAAGCAATCAATTTTAAAAACTGCTAGAACTCTTTTACATGAATATGGAAAAGAATCAGCTATTATTTTTGGTGATTTGCCGCCTGAAACAAAAAGGGAACAAATTGAAAAGTTCAATGATCCAGAGGTTTTTTCTTAAAATTTTTCGGGGAAAACAGGTAAGTTTTGGGCTCTTGGGTCATTGGAATTTAAGTATTATTTTTGGCATTAGTAAATAAAATTTTAAAAAATTTTTAAATCATTAAGATTAGAGACTGGATCGAGACGAGATCTCGAACGAAAATCTCGATTATCGATATTTTTCGAGATATCTCGTACGATTCTCGTTCGATCCTCCCAATTCAGTCTCTAATTTAGAATTCGTTTTTTTTGCTAGCTATTAAAATTAAGGGGAGAGAAAAATGAAGGGAATAGAACGAAAATGGAGGGAGAGATAATTGAAGGGTTCCCAAAAAAATTTTTTTTGAAAAATTTATTTATTGACTTCAGGGTAAAACCTCCTAGTCGAAACTAAGGTTGGCGGTTCCGGTTATTTGGAACCGAAAAAAACCGGATAACCGAAGATTTCCTAGGAACCGCCAACCGTAGTCCAAAATGTCCCAAATATTTTTTTGAAAAAAATATATTTCTCAAAAAAATTTTTTTTAAAGAATCCATGTAAAATTTTGTTGGCAACAGATGCTATTGGAATGGGAATTAATTTAAATATTAAAAGGTTTTTTTTTATTAAATTCTAATTTTATTTTTTTTTTAATTTTTTAAGAGTTATTTTTACCACATTAATGAAGGACGGGCAAATTTTTCCAACTTTCTTTGTTAAACAAATAGCTGGTAGAGCTGGACGTTTTGCCTCTAGATATTGTAAAGGGGAGGTTTGTTTTTAAATTTATTTTTTAATTTTTGAAGAGGTCCTCCCCAGCTATTTTGGAAAATTTATTAGGTGTTGTCAGATCACTTAACCATAGGGCCGCAAGTGGGTTCGAACCTTCATGTGGGTAAACTACCCAGTCAATAACATAAACCACTTAACTACAGAAATTTGAAAATCTTGAACATAATCCAATTTTGTTTATTTTTTCTTCAGTTTAGAAATAAAAAAAATTTTGACCACAAAAGGGTTCGAACCTTCATATACTAAACAACCCAGACTACAACACAAACCACTTAACTACAGAATATAAATTTTTCCCTTTTATTAAAAAATTTTTTTAAAGTATTTTTTAGAAATTTTTTAGCCCATTTAATCATAATTTCCTCTCTATTTTTTTAAAGGTAATGACACTTTTGGACGAAGATTCCCGTCTTTTGGGACGTTTAATGAATGAACCAATTCAACCTATTGCACAAGCGGGTATATCCCCCTCATTTGAAGCTATCGAGGTTTTTCTTTTGAAATTTTTTTTTTAATTTATTAATAATTTTTTTTCTCAGTTATTTTCTCTTCATTTACCTCATTGTTCGTTGTCTCAACTATTAGACATTTTTGCTTCAATTTCTAGTGTCAGTGAAGATTATTTTTCGTGTTCGCATGCTCGAATAAGAGAGATGGCAATTTTAATAGAGCATATACCTCTGTCTTTAAGGGTTTGTTTAAATTAATTTTTAAAATGTCAAAATGGTAACTAGTTAAAAAATTTCATTTTGGTAATTTTTGAGAATATTTCAAAATGGTCAGTCGTTAAAATAATTTTATTTTGTCACAAAAATAGTTAAATTCTATAAAATTTCAAAGTGGTAACTAATTTAAAATTATTTGTTTTTGTAACTTTTGAGAAAACTCAAAAACGGGAAATTTTGACAAAATGGTCAATCATTGAAATAATTTTATTTTGTCACAAAAATTTTTTTAATTTTTTTTCAGGATCGTTATACTTTTTGTCTTTGCCCTGTCAGCAATAATGGAACGTCTTTCTTAAGTACTGCATATATTATGATTGTTAAAAAATATTCTGAAGGAAATGCTATAACAATACAATTTATTAAACATTTGGTAATGGGAGAAATGAGGCTTGCAGACAATTTGGAAAGGCTACGAACGCTTGGTGATGTATATGATATTCTTTATGCTTATTTGTGGTTAAGCTATAGATTTGAGGTTTTTTTTAATTTAAAAAATTTATTTTTGGTTTAAAAATTTATTTTATTGACTATAAATTATTTAAAAATATTTTTAAAGCCAAATAAAAAAAGTTACCACCGAAAGGGTTCGAACCCACACCCCTCTACCTTATGAAATCCAGGACTTAACCACCGGACCAAAAAATTTTTTTAATTTTAAAAATTCATTTAAAAATTATTCCAACGATAAAATAATTTTTTATCGCTTTTAAAATCATTTAGGCATATTTTCGGCTCGAATATAAAAAATTACTAACGAAGGGGTTCGAACCCACATTCTCCTTATCCTATGTAATCCAAAACCTTAACCACTGGACCAAAATTAAATTTTTGATTATCATCAGTTTTTAACGGATTTAAAATTTGTTTGAGATTTGAAAGAATTTTTTAATCACTCTAAAATTCTTTAAAAAATTTTTTAAAGTCAAATAAAAAAAATTACCACCGAAAGGGTTCGAACTCACACCCCTCTACTTTATAAAACCCAGAACCTTAACCACTAAACCAAAAAAAAAATTTTTAACGGTAAAAATAAGTTTCAAAAAATTAATTGAATTTTTAAAAAAATTTTTGAAGTCAAATAAAAAAGGTTATCACCGAAAGGGTTCGAACCCACGACCCTCTACTTTAAAAAATCCAGAACCTAAACCACTTAACCAAAAAAATTTTAGCTTTAAATTAATTTTAAATTTAATTTTTTTTCAAAGGATTATTTTCCCAATCGAGATTTAGTTCGTGAATTACAAGTAGAATGTGGTGATTTAATTAATAAAAGTATTCAACTTATGATATTGAAAGAATCTTCTAAAAAATCAGCTAATATTATAATTAGAAAATTGCCTTATAATGAAAAAGGAAATGAAAAAAGGAATAGTATAGTATTAAAAAAGGATGGAAAAACGGGAGGAAAACAACAACAACAACAAAAATTTGGTTCTAAAGATTTTGAAAATAATTTTCGTTTTGTTGTGGATAAATTGAAAAAATGAAAACAGATTTAAAGAGGGCATATTTTTGGCTCTAGTCTATAGCAGAGGTAGAGCTCGTCTCGTATTTCGTAAAATTTCGTGTCTCGTCTATAGTGGTCTATATTGTCTAGTTTATTAGTCAAATGAATTCAGAAGCCCGCCCCACTAAATCATGTGAGTCTTTTGGGGCTTCTGAATTTTCACATGATTCAGAAGAGTATTTGAGGCTTATAAATATTTCACTTGATTCAGAACCCCCAAAAGGACTCAGAATAGACAAGAGCCAAATTTTTTAAATATTTATATTTTTATATTTTTTAGAGAATGATAAAAATTGTTAAAAAATTTTTTTAAATTTATTCTTTAACTTATTAAAAAATATTTAATTTAAATATTTTTTGGTTTAATTTTAATTTAAAAATGTCTTTTTTTAGATTTAAAAAATAATTGGTTATTTATCTTCATAAATATTTTTAAGAATATGGGGGAATACGAGGAAATTCAATTACAGGAATTGGAAGCATTAGAGGTTAAATTTAAAAAAATTTTTTTTATATTTAATTTTGATAAGAAAAATATTTCGGAAATTTAGGAGGGTTGGGAATTCTAAGAAAATATTTTAGAAAATTTTTTGGGGATCTTAAAAAAATTTTTGAAAAATTTAAAAAAAATTGAATTTTTAAATTTAAAAATGTTTCTCTCTTTTCAGTCAATGTATCCAACAGAAATTCAAATTTTATGCCGTGATTATCCCAATATCAAAATTCATGTCGAACTTTGCATTGATTCTGTAAGGTTTTTTTTAATTTAGTTTTTTTAATCTAGCTTTTTAATTGTGTGGTGTAGTCGGTTGATGTTGAGCCCGTACTTTTTGGGGTGTAGGGTTCGAGTCCTGTAGGGGTAGGAAAGTTTTTTCTTGATTAAATTTTATTTTTTGGTGGGTTTCAGCTCATTTAAACCCCCCTTTTGATTTTTTAAATTTTTTTTTAAAAAGAAAAAAATTTTCAAAAAATTTTCTTGGACTAAAAACTGGCCAAAAAATTACTTTTTTCTAATTTTTTTCCTTTTTCTAGTCAGAATTTACCGACTTATTTGGACGTGAATTGGTCACATTTACTGCCTCCCTTCCAGAATTATATCCACAAAAAGGCCCCAAAATTGATTTGACAGAGTTAACACCCCCAAAAGATGACGATGAAAATGATATTGACGAAAATGAAAAAATTAAATTATTAATAACTAAAGTTGGGAGAGATTTGGAAAAAATTATAGAAGAAAATTTGGGGGAGCCAATGCTGTTTACGTTAATTAATGTATTTCAGGTTGATTATTTTTATTTATTTTTAGGGGAGTTATAGGCTGATTTTTAAAAAAATTCTGTTTAAATATACTTGTGCTCTAGTGGTTAGTGTGTTGGTCTATGACGGTCCAGGGACTGGGGTTCGAGCACTGTTGTTGTCGAAATTTTTTTAATTACTTAAAAATGTTTTTACCTAAAAGACTTAATTTTTAAAAATTCAAAAAAATTTTGGGGGGGGGGGGGGGTATGGGTCTGTAGTTTAGTGGTTAGTCTATTAGCCTCTGCCTGATGGGGGTATAAGGTTCGAACCCTCTTAGTGGTAAGAATTTTTAAATTAATTCTAAAAAATTTTTCTACCTTCAAAATTAATTTTTAAAAATGAAAAAAATTTTTGGAAGGGGTATAGGGTCCCCTGCTAGGCTAGAAAAAAAATTTCCACTTATTTTTTTTAATTCACAGGATTTATTAATTAACGCTTGTACGACCCATTCAGAAGAATTGGCAAATATTGCAAGGGAAGAGCAAGAAAAGGCGGAGACTGAAGCTTTGGCTAAATTCGATGGTTTTTTAAACTATTTTTTTAATTTTTAAAATTTCAAGGAACCCGTGTAACAGTTGAATCCTTCAATAAATGGCAAGAAGCATTTTTGGAAGAAATGAGAGTGAAAAAAGGGCAGGAAACTAAGGTTTATTTTTATAAAAATTTCAAAAAATTAAAAAAAAAATTTTTAGGAAATTCTATCAGGAAATCGTTTAACAGGAAAACAACAATTTTTGGCTGACAAATCCTTGGGAATATCAGATTTACAATTTTTGAATATGCCTGAACAAGAAGATGTAAAAGAGGATAGTGAGGAAAGGGGAGGAGTTGCTGCTATTGACCAGTCTCTTTTTGAGGTTCTTTTTTTAATTAAAAAACCGAAAAACGGTTCCTAACCGAAAAACCCTACTCATTGTCAGAATAAAAAATTTTTTGGGTTTTTACGTTTTGAGGCATTACTCTGAAAAAAGGGAAAGGAGGGAATGACTCAAAACCTTTAGAAAATTTTTTTATAAATTGAGCAACATTTCGAAACGTTAGTTAGTATAAGCAAATATCTAAACACTGCCAAAATTCCCTAAAAAAATCTTTAAAAAAATTTTATAGGATGATTTGGATATAAGTGATGAAGAAACTGGCGATGAGGAATATGAACCTGAAGATGATGATGAGAGTTGATATAAATTCAAAAATTCTTTCAAAAAGTTTGTTTTCAAAATTTTTTTGTTTTTACATAATTTATTAAATTAAAATATTAAAAAAGTGAAAAAACCACAAAGGCATCGATATGTTTTGGTTATTTTATCAGAAAACAAATTAATTTCTTCTAAATTTTGTCGGGTTTTATTGCTTTAAGAAGAAAAACGGCATCATCCAATTTGTAATAAGCCTTTAAAAAAATAAAAAATTTTTAAACCCTAAAAATGTCAAATAGGAAAAGGAAATCCACTCTGTGGCCAATTTCCCCTTCGTTTAAATTCCACATAAAAATTTAATGGAAGAAAAATTCTGTTTGTCTGGGATCACCATAAAATTAAATTACAAAGAATTTTTTCCAAAACGCCCAACAGTGGAAAATATTTTGAAAGGTCCGATAATAGGAAAAATTCCAAAAAGTCCAATAACGGAAAATGTTTAAAAACGCCCAACAACGAAAAATTTTTAAAAAATGTCCATAAGAGGAAAATTTTTCAAAATACCAAACATTTAGAAATGTCAACTAATAACTAACAACCATAATAATTAAAAAAATACCCTAGCCAAATCTCCCTCAGAAAAATAGGGAAGTTTAGTCCATCTAACAACTTCAAACCCTGCAGGTATCAGTACTTCATTCACAAGAATTTCAACATGTTCTTCAAACGAATTTTTGTTGGTTTTTGAAAAGGGCAATGATAACAAATCTTGTTGAGTTCCCCCTTCGTTTAAATTAAATTCCACATAAAAATTTAATGGAAGGACAACAGAAAGTAGTAAAAAACAACCATTTGACAAAGCCAAGGAATGCAATTGCTTTAATAATTGAGTTGGGGCATAATGACGATCGAGCAAATTTAAGGCACAAATGAGGTCATAGGGTCCACTCTGTGGCCATTTATCAACATTGAGGAGTTTAAAATGGTGTTGGGCTAAGCGCCATTCCATTACCTGAAAGGATAAAAATTTTTGAAAAAATTAAAAAATTTCTAAAAAATTTCAAAAAAATTTTTTAAAAATTTCTAAAAAAAATTTTTTTTTAATTTCTAAAAATTTTTTCGAAAATTTTTAAAAATTTTTTTAAAAAATTTCAGAAAATTTTTCAAAAAAAAATTCAAAAATTTTTTTAAAAAATTAAAACATTTCTAAAAAAATTCAAAAAAAATTTCGAAAATTTTCAAAAAAATTAAAAAAAAATTTTAGAAAATTTTTTTTTAATCATCCACCAATATTCTCCTCACCATACTTTGGAAGCCTCAACTGCTGTAACATGCTTGAAAAACCTTTGCAAAACCAATGTAATTGTCCCATCTCCAGCCCCAATATCAATTAATCTTTTGTCTGTAGAATTCCAGTCAGGAGGGAAATTTAAAAATTTTTGTAAAAAATTGTGGGAGAAAAGAAACATGTTGCCTCTAGAAAATATGGAAAGTAAAAAATTTTAAATTAAATAAACCTTCCAAGAATTCCATTAATATTAGTCTTTGTGAAGAAAAGGGAGAGAATTGAAGCCATAAATGAATAATAAATCTAAAATTTTCTTTTAAATTCCGGAAAATGTTCTAAAAAGTTTCCGGAAAAGTAATATAATTATACTGAAGAATAATATAAAAATATAAAATTCCAGAAAGTTTAAGAAAAAATAGAATATTTTCCGGAAAATAAAAGATTTTCAGAAAAGTATAATTGTCTACAATTTTGAAAAGCCTGGGCCTGTCCATGAGTTCCAGGTTTGATTTATTGACTCTGGGCCAGATCCAGGGTCCATTGGCCAGGAAAAACCTAGGCACAAGGTCAAAAATGCCTGGGCCTGGACTCCGGGTACATGAAAAAAACAGGCCTTGGTCCAGCCAGACCCAGCTCGATCTCTAATATAGGTGTTACGACAATTGCGGATACGCAAGTGCGGATGCGACAATTGCGGATTAAAAAATTTTTACAAATTTTTAAAATGATTGAAATGATATTCCGTTTTTTGTCCCGGCTGTCAGCTTCAGACGGTTTCCGAATCATTTTTAGACAGATGTGGCACTGAAAACTCTAAAAAATCTTAAACTTTTTAAAAATTTTATATCCGCAATCGTCGCATCCGCACGTGCGTATCCGCAATTGTCGTACCGTCCTAATATTTACTGTTCCGGAAATATCCTTCCTGGAAAGTAATTATTCCGGACATTTATATTATTATTTTCCCGGAAAAATAATACAAAAATAATACAAACATATAAAAAATTCTAAACCTGTAAGCAAACATTGTTGCTAATTTCAAAAGAATTATTAAGGTATTGTTCTGTTTCTTCATCATAATTTGAAGGGGTAAAACAATTTTTCAAATTCGAATCATTTAATAATTGTAAATTAATAGAGTACCAATGATCCCCTTAAAAATAAAATTAGACAGAATTTTAAATTAAAAAAAACTTTCTGAGGTTGCTAATAAAATTTGATCAGATTCTTCTTTTTCAATGAGTAGACGAACAAGTC